GAACAGAAACTGTAGAATAAGATAACAGACAAAAAAAAAATGGTGACTACAAAGGACACCTCCAGGAGTCAAAAACTAGAGTCAAGTGAGACTCATGATTGCTGCTTGATAACTACCTGACTGAAGGCAGAGTACGTGGCTAGGAGCAACTCATGGCTCTGGTTGGATAAGCACCTGCATGCACGGGGACACAAGGACAGAGCAGGGGTGCCTCTGTGTTGAATGTTTTGTTGACGTGTAAGTGGGGGTAGGAAAGTTACAAGAGGAATCTTGGAAATCTATAGAAGGGATGTTAGAACCTGCAGTATATTATTTGGATTGTTCACATCTCAGTCCATGCCTTCAGACACTGCCAGTGGTGTCCCTGTGGGGCAAAAATCAAGCCAAGGCTGAATGAGTCCCATCCAGCGGCATTGCCTGACTGAACCATTGGAGGATTATTTTGCGCACCCATCATCGATCTGCAGGATAGAAGTTGAGCAGTCAGAACCATGGAGAAGTCACTAACGTGAAGGAGCAACATGTAAACTGTGAAGTATTACAGAGAATTTTAAAGTCTCCGAATCTACCTGTATTTACCTCAGCATTAATTACTTTTCTTGATTGGGTAAGAAGAAATGCCCAAGTTTCCAATAACTGGTTCCTTCGACAGGGCGGTTTGGGACAAAATGGACACAAAACTCTGGGACATTACCACTACTGCACAGAGGACTGCTGCTAAGCATTTACGTGTTTGGCATTAAACATCAGAAACACTCAAACAAATCCAAAAAGAAAAGGCATACTCTCCCAACCGTTCCCCACTGCCCTCTGCACCACGTCTGCCTCCACCTTGTCATCTTGTTAAAGACAAGGATGGACCGGAACCAGAAGATCATTTTGATTCTGGTCCAGTAGATCTGGAGGACAAACTGGACCTTTTCCCTCCTGATGCTAGTTTGAAGGGGATGGGAAGGAAAAATTTTGTTGTTCGTACTGCTTACTATGGTGCTTTAGAGCAATGCAAAAGAGAGACATTATCATGGGGTGATATTGATATGTTGCAAGCCTTTCCTGTGATGTATCATGCACATCAGCCTGCACTGCCATACTGGACCCAAAGTTGCCTCCATGGCCCACCCTCATGGAAGAGGTGCTGCTCGTGGGCCTCAAGGACCACAACTGTTATGCAAATTACATCGCATACCATTCAGCCACAAGCCCTCAAAATAGTATCCCATGTGCAGACATTAAATGATCTGCAAAAATTATTAGGAACCATCACTTTTGGGTGTTACTATTCAAGAGCAGCTATTCCAGCTGCTCAAAGGAGACCCAGATCTAACCTCTAAACAACACTTAACACTGGAAGTACTCCAATGCTTAAACTCTGTAATAACATCATTGCAACATCAATACAGTCATTGTGTTTGTTTATCATTCCTGGTATCTTTTATAATAATATCAAACTCTTATCAACCATACAGTTTGTTATGTCAGTGGGATACCTCAAGGAAAGATCCTCTCATCATCCTCAAATGGATATTCTTACCACATACATTTTCAAAAACCATCATGAGTGGAGTTGCTTGCAATGTGAATACAGTGAGGTCAGCATAGTCTACAAACTTTGCGAGTTTCTGACCCTGATTGCATCTTTATCCCCACTGCTAAAAAGATTGCGATTGGATGCTTATGCGTTTGCTCGCTTTACAAGCTTCTATGGCTGATTATATTGGACAAATCTCTACTCATCCCCCAAAACTTCAGTTACTGCATAAGTTGAGTGATGTGTTCCTTAGTACAAACGTTTTGATTTCGCATGTTCCACTACCTGATGTTGTTACTGTACTGAGATGGCTCCTGCAAGACACATCGAGCAGTGGTTCTCTGGAATACGACTGCTATATGATGGCAGTCAGACATGCATACTGTCCATGGATCACCTCAAATTGTAGGACTTGCTGCAGTGGCTCAAGCTTTTCAAATTTCTGCAGAACAAAAGCTTAATATACCAACTGACTCTTTGTATGTTACAGGTATCCTTCAGTGGATTGAAAGATCTTTCCTTAAATTAACAACCCTGCCTTGTGTGCACAGCTCAAGTGAGTTTTGTGTTATATCTCTCACTGTACTCTTCCTTATTTTATTATGCTTATTTTATTTACCTTATTTTATTATTTATTATATTTTCAATCACACACTGAGTTACATGGTCTGTTAACTGAGGGCAACCATAAAGCTTATTAAGCCACAGTCGCCTTTGCTACCCCCTCAATTATTTCAACAAGAGTGACTTGTTCAGAATAGGAAGCCTTACAAAAACAATTCCAACTGACAGTGGATCAGGATATTATTCTAACATGCCCTGACTGCCAGGCAATTGGCCCTTTGCCTCAAATAGGAACAAATCCCCATGGCACAGCACCTCTTCAAATCTGGCAATTGAATGTCACTCACGTTGAAGAATTTGGCCATCTAAAATATGTGCATTTAACAATAGATGCTTATTCTTCTTACATGTTTGCCACAGTGCATAAGGCAAATGCCCATAAATACTGGTTATGTGCTTACGCTGCTATGGGGATCCCACATACAATAAAAACAGATAATGGCCCTGCATATAGTTCCAGGGCCACTCAAATTTTCCTTCAAGAACTGGGGGTTAGACATGTTACAGGCATTCATCATTCTCCCACTGGACAAGCTATCATTGAATGTGCTCATCAAACATTGAAATGTACTCTTAATAAACAGAAAAGGGGGAATACAGGAAATGCACCACAAGAGGTTATGGAAGGCTTTGCTTGTGCTGAATTTTTTGAATCACAATCATACAGATACAACTCGAGTAGAGCACCATTTTGGGACCTCCCCAGCTCTCAAGGAATGACTGATGGTTAATGTTCAGAATATGGCCACAGGGCATTGAGAATATCCTTTACCATTAATAACTTGAGGTCATGGACATGCTTGTGTTTCCACAGAGACTATCCCTAGGTGGGTTCCAGAGCAATATATTTGGCTTCATTTCAAGGCAGAAAATAGCATCTAGCCCTCATAATGACTGGGATTGTGTGTTTCTTACCTATTGGTATTGTTTTGCAATTTGTTATATTGTAGATAACTCGTAGATGCCATACTGAGTGGTACAGAATGGCTGGATTACCCACGACACTGGTAATGGAATGACAAAAGTGGGTGATTTTCCTTGTTACCGATTCAGCCTCAAGAATTAGAATTATTAGGCGCTATCCAAGCTGCTGTGTGCTTCTTCCTCGGTTTTTGTAGTGGATCAAATGTGAATTGAACAGGATTCAACACTATCAGTGCTGGAATCTGTGGAAATAGCTATTTTTGGTGTAATTTCACCACCCCATTATCAGTAACACCCGGTCATGATGCTATTAGCCTACCAGTTAACCTTTTCTTAATTTGCAGAGACAGAACCTGGAAAGGAATCCCAGGCAAAGCTAGCAGAGGACCCTGTACTGTAGAACAATCAACTCTCTTTTATCCCACTAATCAGAATTTTAAATCACTCGATACGAAGGTGCACGCTATCTTACTCTGATTCAAGATGTGATTCTAATATAGAATTCTGGAATACCACCCAAGAAATTTTTTGTTTCACCAGTCCCTTCAATTGGCACCTATGTTAGGGACCTAAAGGCTCCTGACTGAAGAATGATTCCGGATGGAACAAAGTATTCTAATAGTTTTGAAGGAACTGATATCTGTGGCTATAGCAGCAAATATTTTGTTTTGTAAAGAGAGGTGGCCTTCGTAGTTTATCTTATTTTTTGCAAAGACCTGTTTTGCAAGCAGGTGTTCCACTTGGGCTCTGTATCATGCACTGGCCAGGCAGATATGGTGTGCAAATGGAAAAAACCCTGCAGATGCTGGGGAAAATAAAAGCAGGAGAGACGCTGTGGTGGGTGAGAGAGGAAAAGTGCACTTTGAAGCAGGGAATATCCTGCTTGCACTGCCTGTCGCATCCACCACTGGCATGTTCTTTCTCTCTTCTTTCCAGTGGTTCATCATCTCTCAAGGGCTGGTAAGTAAGAACGCACCAGCTTATGGAGTTTCTGCTTCCCACTTATGGGGATTATCTAAAATGGATGCATGCGTGCATGCGTGTGTGTGTGTATGTGTGTGTGTGTGTATGTGTGTGTGTGTGTTGAATAAAACTCATAACCTTCTGCGCTGCTCTGAGTGCAGTTTGCTTGCCTTTGCTCCTGAGACATCCTGTCTCTCAGACCCAAATGTACCCTGGAACAACACTGCTAAGGCTTTAGGTACACTCACCAAGTTAGGATGTTAGCTGGCTAAGGAAAGCAGTGCCACAAGTGATGCTCTGGATGGTTTGCCCACTGATGTTAATTCTGTCCGACATGCAACTTAACAAAATTGCATGGCCATTGATTTTCTATTATTAACCCAAGGCCATGGTTGTGAGGATTTTAAAAGCATGTGTTGTATGAATCTTAGTGATCATTCAAAAATACATCAGAATATACAAAAGTTGAAGATTCTCTGTAATCAGTTACAGGTACACACAGAATGGAACACTCGGGATTCTTTTCCAGGTTGTAGGAATTTGGGCCATGGGCCAAACATGTTCATTCATTCTTAATGGGTCTAACAGCATTTCTTGCCATTATGCTGTGCTTGCCTTGTCTCTTTTCTTGCGTTCAGTGTGTTGTCAATTGAAGCCTTGATTGAGTCATGATAACCTAAATGCATACAACAATGCTGTTACAAAGCATTACACAAAATGAAGGAAAAAGCTCCAAGTCAAGCAATCAGGATGCCATTTATAAGGCATGATTATATTATTAATGTGACTAGTGCCATTACTGTGTAGCATGCTAATAGTTTGCTAATAAACAAAAAAGGGAGAAATGTGGAAATTCAAGACAGAATAATCAGAGCAGAAAATGTAGACTAAGATAACAGAGGAAGAAGAGAATGCTGAGAACAAAGGACACCTCCAGGAGACAAAAACAAGAGTCAAGTGAGCTGCGCAATCACTGCATGATAACGATCCACCTAACATATGAGCACTTCTGGGACATTCTGCTATTCCCTTATCAAAAGATTATTAGGGGGACAGGGAGGAAAAAACGCTCACAGAAGGGTTTTGCTTAACCAACAAAACCATCCCCATGCTGGGGCTTGCAGGTGGAGCACGAGGAGCAGCGGTAAGTGATGCATCCCACAGGACCAGGGGTGCACAGTGGCAGTGCTGACACTGACTTCAGCAACCGTAAGTTCCAGATCTGACAAAGAGTCAAAGAAATATTGTGGATGAAGTGGGAAGGGTTTGCCATAACCTTCACTGGACTTTCCATATATGGAACACTGTGGCAGCAAAAGAGGCTCCAGGAATGTTGGGTTCCTCGTGAACACCACCCTTGTCATTCTAAGGGACATTCCCACTCAATAGATGCTTGCTTTTCACAGCTCTTATTTTCTGGGGCAGCCAGCAGGAGGCAACACGATGGCCAACAGGCACACAGGGCATTCAACACGAAGAAGAGCATTGGGTTTGGAAGGATGAGACCAGCATGGATTCTCAGGCCTTTGATCAATCTAGAAGTCACACTGTGACATTCAGAAAGTCACTCAGCCTCTCTCCATGTGCTTTCCATAATGTAATAAGTGCAATACCTGACCCATACTTTTTTGCAAGGCATTCTGAGGACTACTGAGAAAAAGCATGAATGAGACAGCAGGTAAATAGTATCACTATACTCTTCCAGATCTTTCCTGTTTTCTTTTTTTTTCAAGAACAAACTTGCTTCAGGAAGGTGGAAGGTAGAGCCCAGCCAGCTGGGCTTTAAAACCACCGTTCCAGATACAGATGTTTCCTGCAGGTTTGTGTGCAGACCCCAGTCCTCTCCCTTCCCTAACTAACAAAAAGTACCTCGTTGCCACAGTCTATTTTTTTTTCTTCTTCATCACTAAGCACAGCAAAGAGGAAAAGTTGAGCCTGAGTGGAAGAATAAAAGTGGAAGTGTGTAGTATAGGTCTACAGACAGAAACTGAAACACAGTCAAGTCATTACCCTGAGCACAGTTGTTTTCTTTCGGTGTGCTTTGCCTCAGCTGGCGTGTCTTCCACTCCAACTCTGCAATGTCCATATGCTTGGAGTAATTCAACTCTCCCTGCAGAGTCCAACAAATCTTGGCCTAGAAAACAATAAAGAAGAGGAAGATAAGAGGCTGAGTTCACTTCAGCAACATAAACCCAAGCAGTCATGTCAGCTGTAGCGGCTGTGGTGCTGCACGTGGTTCCAGAGCTCCCACGCTCAGCAGGCACAGGGATGTCTGTTTTTTCAGTTACTGCTTCTGTTCTTGGAACGGAAACACAGACTGGTGTGGCAAAAGATCTTCACTCACTCTTTGTTCTTCTCACCAGGCTGTCAGTCTGAGCAGTCACCAGACTGCTGTTACACTCTGCTTTGCACAATGTGCCTCAGTGCCCTTAACAGAAACTTTCAACAGTCCGTCAGTTCCCCACAGCCCCACGCCTGCCATTGCCTGGGACTTGATACTTGAGGCTATGAGAGAAGATTCCCTACATAAGGGTTTGCTGCAAAGGGAGGCTTTTTAAATCTACTGTTCAGTCTTCTGCACCAACAAATGAGTTTAAGTAAGAAACGTGATCGAGGACTGAAAGATACGTGTAGACTCACATGTATGGAGTAAGAGATGGAATGAGTTGGTGCTTTCACCAATCCACTGAATTTATGTTAGAGCAGCCCAAGTACTGCTCTGCGGGAGCAGATGCACTTCCACCTCCAGTCTTGTTCCGACTACAGGCGAGGATGTGTTTTTGAAATGCTGCCAGCTGCATCCCAGCCCGGTGTTCTTCCAGATAGCAAAGGTTTGTTGTTTCTACAATGGATTTGTCATCAGTCACCACAAAGGGATTGCAGTAACACTGCACTTAGGACCTTCACTGCTCTACAACGACCACAGAATCGAAGTCAGTCTGTGGAGAGGGGGCTGCTCTTACGGCACTCCCATCCCAACAGGGTATCCACCCCAGCTGTGTGATGGAAAGAGCTGGGATCCTCCACATTTCTGTGGAAAACCCAGATCTCAGTGCCTCCAGAAAACTCACAGACAGATGTGCACGGCTGAGGGAAATAGGAAACGAACGTTGCCACAGAACTGGGACTCAGTCTGCCCTGACACGGAGTAGCTGCGTGTGAGACGCACGCACTCAGGTTTGGTTATTTTGCTTTTTTGTAAAGAAGAATGTGATTCACGATCGCACCCCGTGACCATACTAATGGCCATTCTGACACCCTCAGAGCCCCAGCGCCACACCGAGCGGCCCCTCGCACGGAGCCGCAGTACGGGGCGCGCTCAGCAGGACGGGACGCGGTCAGACGGCCCTCACAAGGCTGCACAGCCCCTCCCGGCTCAGCCCCGCACACGGCCGCGCCCCGAACGATGCGCAGCGCCAGGAGGAGCGCAGGGACCGAGGCCGATCCGCGCACCGCCACCGCCCGCCTTCCGCGCCCCGCCGAGGGCCGGGAACGACGCCGGCCCCGCGACGAACGGCCCGACCGCCGCCCGACAGGCGCGGGATAACGGCCGCTAGGGGCGCAACGCCACGCGCTCGCCGCCCGCGCCTTCTCCCAACCCCGCCCCCGCCGCCGCTCGGGGCCAATCAAAGCACGCGGGTGGCGGAAGGGGCGGGGCGCGGCACGCGCCGCCGTGCTCCATCGCCGGAAGGGGCGGGGCTTCGCCACGACCCGCCCCCTGCCTCCCTCCCCGCCTCCCTCCCTCGAGGCCGCGGCGCAGCACGGAGCGGGTGGAGGCGCGTGGTGCGAGGGTTTTATTGGCGGCAGCCGCGCTGCATTTAACTGCTGCAGTATTTCTCCTTGTCCAGGTAGTGGTGAGCGGGGTCGTAGGGGGCCTTAGCGAAGCACATGGCGGCTGTGCGGTCGCAGTTACAGACGAACATCTCGCACTCGTTGTTGGAACCTGGAGGGGAGGGGAGGGAAAGGGAGGGAAAGGGAGGGGAGGGCAAGGAGGGAGGGAAGGCGGTCAGATCTCTTCGCAGTGCCCTGCCACGTGTTGCCCTGCCACGTGCTCCCTGCCCCTCCTCCCTTCTGAGCTTTCTGCCATCACTCTGTAACCATGTGGCACAGCTGTGCCGTGTTCCCCACTGAGCCCACAGCCCTCGGTTGTTCGAGGCACCGCAAGTGACCACCCCGAGGGGAGGGTGAGGGTCCTGCTGCATGCAGGCAGCATCACTGTGGTGCTTCACTTGTCAGGGCCTCCCGCTGCACATCCCTCCCGCACCCATGGCCATGCAGCCCCACTCCTTCCAGACAAGGAAGGCACAGTGACACGGAGCACGGCAGGGACTCAAGGCAGGACGTACTGCTACAAGTGATCTCCTCGTTCTTGCAGGAGTACTTGTAGATCTCTGTGTAGGGAGTGTCCAGGATGGAGGAACACACCGTCTTGTTCTCTGCCGCAGAGTAACATTCGTCGTGTGCTTGACAGCACCTGGGAAACACAGGAAAAGGTCAGAAGATGTTGAAATGCAAACTCAGCTGACTTGTGGGCTGTGTAAGTGTGTGACTATTTGTAAATAGACTCTGACAAGGCACTGAACACATGAAACACCAAACCCTCCAAATATTCACTGATACCTGGAGCTCAAAGGACCCTGAAAGGCCTCACCTCATAGAGTATCCTGACCACAAGGACCATCGAGTCCAACTCCTCCCCTGCCAGCCCACGTTCCCTGAGATGCCTGCTACGTGCGTGCTTACTGCAGCAGCTCTCAGGACAGCAAAAGGCAGCAATTACTCTGTGTCCCCATCAATGCCTGATGCCTGAGGAGCAACAGCTGCCACAACCCATGGCCCTTTGGCTGTCAGTCATGTAGGACTGATGGCTGCTAAGCCACTTCTCAGCATTTTGCAGCTTAGCCCTGAGTGTGTTGATGCTGAAGCTCTGGTTGGTGGGCTCAGAGCTGCCATTGCGACTGCAGGAACAGCGCTGCTGCAAAAGAATTGCTGGAGTATATATGTGGCACAGCTGCTACAGAAAGCAGTTATTAGGATTGTACTTTATACCAGTAATAAGGCACAAAGGTGTGGTACTGTGCCACTGTTTACCCTTGAAGCCATTTTGGGGAGAATGCTTCATCCTCAGCAGTCAAACAGTTCAGTGAATGTCTGCAGACAGGGCTGAGGTGAAGCTGACATGCAGAACCACAAAAGCAGAACGAAGGAAAGAGGTTTATAACAGCGGAGTCATACAAACCTGTCCAGTTCATCCACAGGTGTCCCACTGCCCCCCAAGCCGCAGTAGCAGCCGTAGTCGTCAAATCTAAGGAAAGGGTGGCTGTGTGGGATGGTGCATTTGATCATGCTGCGGAACTCCCATAGTGCACGAGGTGAGATAGCAGCGATGGCAGCCACCACTGAGGAGAAGCACAGAGGTTAGTGTTAGGTATGGAGGCAGCAGGCTGGGGGTGCTGAGAGGGGCACACGCTGCTTACGCACCCGACAGCAAGAACAGCACACCAAGAGTCTTCATTCTTGCGGGATCTGACGATGAGATTGCTGCCAGAGGAAATGCAGCTCTTTATACTGCGAGTTCACCTTGACATAGAAGTGAGGTGCACCCAGCAGCGTTTGTACTATCTAACAGATTTCTCCTATCAGAGGCTGCAGGCTGCAGATTGTGGCATTAACTTCTGAAGGCCAGTGGAGTTCAAGCTCTCGAAGCCAGCAGGGCAAATACTTGCATTCTAGGTTTTACTGCTAAATTCTTTTAACTTCCAAGGTCAGGGAAAAGAGCTCTGAGCACTGATGGAGCTGTGGGTGTCCCCATTCATTGTACAGAAGTCGGACCAGACAACCTTTAAAGGTCTCTGCCAAATCTGAAGATTCTCTTCCCCTAGGCAAGAACCAGGAGCAAAGCAACCTGGAAAGCCTCTGAAATTTCTAGGGAATATTCTCATAACAAACAACCACAACAACAAAAGAAGGTGTGAATGCAACAAAGCTGTGGGAGCTTGAAACCAGACATTTTAACTGAGTATACAGGATGCAATCATTTC